TTTTTTGAGTATGAATTTAAAATCTGCACCATTTCATTTATCTGTTGATGAAATATCTAAATTAAGTTCCGAATATCAATCAAAAAATATACGATTAATTCCAGCATCGGATATAACTAATAATCTTCAAAATGCTTACCTATTGCCTGTTCAACAAAATATTCGGACAAGCAATGCTAACTCTATAAATGCCCATTCAAAAAATGTTCAGTTACCAAGTACGAGTAAATCACAAAAATTAAATAAGACACAAGCACCACCAAAATCAAAAATAACAACAGCAAAACAGCATAATTTTGGTAACAGTAGTTTAACAATGCATACAAGTATTCAACACATGCAAATAAAAACCACTACCGCCCAAGAGCATTCAGATGATCATAAAGACACTAATATGTTAGTCCAACAATATCTACAAACAACAAGCACAAGTACTCACAAGCAGCAAACTTCAAACCTATTGCAAGTTACACGACCAGGGATGAGCTCTCCATTGCTTCAGAATAGTATTGTACAGCAAGATCAGAAAATGCAGCTACAACACGGCACCGGAAGTAATAATAATGCAGTTGGGACAAATGTTCAACAACAGCAGTTATTACATAAATCACGGTCTAATAAAAATTTAACAAAGGGGAATGTTCAACAACGCTTATCCCCACAAACAAATAATCGATCTTCCAATGTTACTAAACGTCCATCTCCTAGACAAAATCCTAATAAATCATCTTCTTTAGATAACACAGGCAAAGGTAAACATACTCGCATGCAGTGATGGTAATCTTAACACATTTAATGCTTCTGAGCTAAATTATAATAATTCAACTTTCATTCATATTTACTACTTATTAAGACATACGTGTTTTATAAAATGTAATTCTTAGTATTTTTAATCATATGTTGTCATTAATGACATTATTTAATTATTTATATATTTTATCTTTTAATATAAAACAAAACTACTACAATTATTTTTTTAATTTTAAAATTGTTTGATACTTAAAATATGATATTATACCATTATCCTATACTGAAATGTAATTTGTGAAAACAAAATTTATAGTTTGAAGAAAATGAGATAGTTATTTGTAACTCTTCATTTAAATGTTTTATTCTTATAATTGAACGTTATTTTTACTTATTCTATTATTTTAGCATTTCCCAACCTTTTTAGTAGTATGTGAAAAATCTTTGTGGCCCATATACCTAATATACAGGTAAATAATACTAATACACAAAAATAAGACGACAGAAGAAATATATACTTGTTTAAAATCATATAAAAATCTCGATGTTGATGCCAATTAAAATTTGCTGACATTTGGCTTAGACTATCGATCACCGTCCGCGGCCCAGTTCCACATTGCCCGCAGCCCACCCTGACCATGCGTTGGTAACCGCTGTATTATCGGATTGAAACAAATATATACTTTAATATAAAATAATATAATAATAGATTGGACCATGTATTAATTTAACAATGTATGTATATTTATATGTAATTAATTAAAATATTTATTTTTAATCAAGTTAATTTAATTCAAAACAACTGCATAATTTGGATAAAAAAATATTGATATTATGTACTTAGTTAAGTTTTTGATCATAACAATGAAAAACATACAATGTTTTCATGAATAAAGACTACAATATTTATTATAATTGATTTTAAGGTGGTTCTAGGTGGCTCTAGGCAATTTGATTTTTCATTCATTTATACCTATAAGCTGGCAAAAAAATAAATATAATTATTCTAGTATTTAATCCAATTTTTATATTAAAAGCAAATTTGAATTCGTTTTTTCCATGTTTTTCAGGAATGTTTTCGTCTCATTAGCCCTTTAAATTACGTATTTATCTTGAAAAATTAAGTAAATTAATTTGGAACCATAATACCAAAACTTTTCATAATTTCGAAAATCCAGCTCCTACATAACATAGAATAGAATCAAAAGAATTCAAATAATTTTCCAAAATTAAGATTGGATTACTAGAAGTATGTTAATTTTTTGCTTATTGGCGTTATTCATTGTCACGTACACCGAAGTAGAATATTATTTTTGACCGTGCCTACGATGGCATTGACGTACGTGTTCTATATAACGTGTCATCTTGTTCGCCTGCTGCTGGGCGATGGGGAATCCAGAGTACACACAATAATCATTTACGACCAACAAAAGATTAAGGGCTGTGGCAACGAGATTATAAATTGCCTAAATGTTGTCTTTTAAACAATAGCCACTAAGATCTGCCTTAACCCACATTGTGTAACATTTGACCTTACCAATTAAAACTTAAGTAGCATTTTTTACTTAAAAATTTGTCTAACAAAGGATCAAGGTATCATATATTTTGATTCTTGTAAATTGAACCAGAAATAAAAATAAAACAATTCATCTTAATGTTCATTATATTGGACTAAATGTTGGTTTTTATGTCTTCATTGTACCTATACATCTTTCTTAAATATACAATTTTTAACTGTCAATGTTTTGTTTAAAAGGAGATGTTTTTTTGAGAAATAAAATAAAATACACATTAATTAATCATATACAACATAATTATTAAGCATAATAAATGTACCTAGTATATCTTGTTTTCCTTGAATATATTTAATTATAATAAGAAGAAAATGTATGGTTAAAAAAAATTTACCAACAAATTAACAAAAACATTTAATAGTTCAAAATCACAATAGTTTTACATAGTTAGTATAGATTGTTGGTGTCTTTCTGTAATGTGTGTTATATGCTGAGTCTAAACAGAAATAATACAGTTAAAACTAAACAGTGTTTGTGATTTATTATTTCCATTAATTTCATTCAATGTATACATTTTATTATAATAATCGAAATTTGCGTTATGGTTATGAAAATCAATTTTTACAGATTTTCATCCAATAATGTTTTTATCTTATGTGCAAAATCATATAAAATTTAAATTACACCATTTTCATTAGTCGAATGAACATATTATTCATGTTTTCAAATAACATTGTTGAAAAAATGTTTACATTTTAATTGAATTTGGTAAAATTCATTCAACATTTAAAAATAAAATCGAAGACCACAGAGTAACCACATCCATACTTTTGTTAAAACATTTAACAACGCACTCTCTATAGATGTCTATACAATTTATTACAAGACTTCTTATATATTTTTACAATGGCAATTGAAAAATATTCAAAACTTTTTTTTATAAGCATTCAGAGTTAAAATTTTTAAAATATTTTATTTTTAAAACTAAGATTAAAACTAAATACAAGATTGCTTATAAGTTTGTCTATCTATATCAAAAAAATAAATTTGTCTACAAGAAAGTCAAATTAAATTTTTATGAGCGTTTGAAGTTTAAATGTTTACAACATTGGATAGGTATTCTATTGGTTTCTCATAAATAGCAATTTTCTTATTTTGTTGCAATTTAAAAACTAATAACCGTAGATACTTGAAATGTACACCGTATGTTTATTTTATCAATTCCCATACTTGATAAAATGTTCAATATTTTTTGATTTGTTTTGAGCTGATTATGGATATTTTCAATTTTATTAGTTTTTTTTTTCTTCTGTCCATACTATTATGTGTCAAAAAGCGTGCAAATTTAATACAAGGGTCCTGAAATATTATGACTATAACAGTTGAAAAATATATAGGCGTGATTTTTTTTTTATAAGCATTTAAAGTTCGAATTTTGACAATATGTATCAAATTTAAAATTTGAAAATTATATTCAAGCTAAAAATGTATAAAATGTTCAACTTTTAAGTTAGGTAAGGATTGGAAATTTAAAACATGGTTCCACTTAAACAGATGAATTAATTACTTTATTCACAATAATATCATCAAATATACTTAGTAACGTCATGACAATCTAATTTAGATTAATTTATATACAGGATACGAAACGAACTTGTGATAAGTGAAACAAGCACATTCACACGTTGCGGCTAGATTACTAGGGCTTTATAGGATTGTTCTGTGGTAAATGTGAGAATAAGGAATTAAAATATGACAATAGCTCGTCATTCTCAACGCAGAACAATCCTATAAAGCGCTAGTAGACAGTAGTGTAGCGGGCGGACTCAGAAAACATTGATAAGGCCTTTCCGTTCTGTATCCTGTATATCTTAATTCTTGGCCGATATAGGTAGGTAACTAAAACCATTGATTGAGTAAAACTAATTTACTTATGGGTGCCGGTGCCGGTCATTTATTAAGGAGTAAAATATAGGCAATTCAATTCACAAGTTGTAACGGCCTAGCGCGGAACGTGCATGTGTTTTGAGTATGTAAATTGATATGAGTGAGCTATAATCACATGCGCAGATAAAGATATTTACGCACACGCATGCACATGTCAGTGAATAAATTTCAAATACAACATTTTTGGATTGGTAAATCATTGTGTGAAGCTAGTAACTTTTAAACGTAAAAGATAGGCAATTACTGCCCAATGACGTCACGCGGATATTATACATTTCTTAAGTCTTTAAAGTAATCATTTTTTTTTCATCAGATTTTCACGTAAAGCATAATTATATTAAATGACTCAATGACTGTATTCATACAATATAGTATTTATCAATTCATCATACCTATTTATATAATTATTTCTAAAGTAAATAAGAGTAGGTAGGTAGTTCTATTTCAAATAAAATGTAAATATATAACATACAAAATTCACTTTATTAGTTAATACAATTAGTGTCAACTAGGTAATACATACTTAAAAAAGGTGCTCTGCTGTACAGTAGGTTACAAGTGGGTCACTGTATAATGGATAGTATTAAATTTGAATTCAATTATATAATATCATTGTATAAGAAAAACGATTCTGAGCGGAGACGGTATGTCAGTCTAGGTATAAGACATATTATATACATATCTATGGTACTAAACCAAAATTTGACCTATAATAGGTACCTATAATAAATTCCAAATTAATCATATCACAATATCCATTATTTACTTATAACGCGTTATACATCAACAACAAACCCTGATACTATCATAGATATAGAATAGTGTACTTTAGAAGTTTCAAGTACCCACGAATAATATTATACAATCACAACAAAATAACTAAAATAGTTATTCTAGGTATTTTAATATGTAATTTCGTCAAAATTTGAATTTAAAATGTCTGTAAAAAATAACGTATGTAATGTTCATATATTTTTTAGATTTTTTGGTTACAGTATGAACTATTTATGAGAACCTTTGTTTTAAATTTGCAATCCTTAGCTATAATTACTGACTATTTTATAAATTATTAATTACAATGATTGATAATTTTCGAGATTTTGATAAATTTTGTCAAAATTCGATCTTTAAATGCTTATAAAAAAAAAACTGTGCCTATATATTTTTAATATTTTTCAACTAATATTGTAACAATATATCAGGAGCCTTGTATTAAATTTTTACACTTTTTGGCCCAACAGATAAAACTTTATTGATATTTATAGAAAAAAAAAAATTAAAAAAAATTGAAAGTGGTAAATGTCTGTAAATAGGTAGCTCAAAAAAAGTCAAAATATTTTCAAAAATGTATGGTGTATAGGAAATGCTAATTTAAACATTCAGTGAAATTTTCATGTATCTACAGTTATTCGTTTTTGAATTACAACAAAATAAGAAAATCGCTACATGAGAAATCGAGTGAATATCCAATGTTGTAAAAATTTGAATTTCAAACGCTCATAAAAATTTAATTTGACTGTCCGGTAGAGATTTTTTTATTGATAAAGGTAGACAAACTTATGAGTAA